TATATAAAATACGTTCAGTAATATGATGCAAAAATATGCCTTTACATCAAAACAATGTCGACTTATATGAATCACGAGGAAAATCACATACAGATAAACGGAGGAAGAAATCACTAAAAATAAGCCATAAAATATCACACTGAGATAGATATGAAAACGCGACTCATAATGATAAATAAAAGTGATAAGATTTGTCATGCAATGCTTTCTAAGAAAAGAAAGAAAAAAAACGACTTTTCATTTCCTGTTCCTCGCTTCATATATTCCACGATAGTTGTTGGTGATGTGTGTGTGTGTAGGTGTGTGTGTTGGATTTCATCTGGTGTCCTGTGTGGTTGTGTGTGTTGTGTGTGTCGTGTGTGTGAGTGTGTGGTGTGATATGTGTGTGTTGTGGTGTTGTTGTGAGAGAGGACAAGAGTAGGAGAGAGGAGAGAGGGGGATGATGAGAGAGAGAGAAGTTCTCTGGAGAGAGAGAGACGAGAGAGCAGAGAAGAGATTGAGAGAGACGAGAGAGGAGAGAGAGATAAGTGATTTAGTGTGTGTGTGTGTCTGTGTGTTTGTATATTACATAGACATGATGTATTCGTGGTATGAAATGGCATGGAGTTAGCATGTTTTGTGTTATGCATTTTTTTGTTGAAACATTTATTTAAAGCAGGAATTTTAATAATCTGCGTTTTGTAGATGTAGGTTGGAGCATAATAACAACACCCACACACACACCCGACACACACACACACACACACCCCACCACACACACCACACACCACACACACATCACAATATCATATATATAATATTTTATATATATTTATATTATAATATTATATATATTATATATATATTATATATATTATATATAATTGTACATATCATATAGTACATTTTGACACAATTCCAAACACGAGAAAGGCGCCAGACGCAGCCCCACGAGGTAACCCCCCCACCCACCACACCCAACACCCAACCACCCCTCCTCGCGACCGCCACTCCCTAACCAGCGCCCTCCTTCCCTCCCCCTCAGGACGGCCGCCCTCCCTCCGCCCTCCACGATGCTGGTTCCGCCCCGCGAGATCGGAGGCGGGGTGCGCCCTGACCAGCCGTTGGAAGCCCCGCCCACCTGCCAGTTCAACATGACCGACACTCAGCTGACGGTGCAGTGCGAGGGGAACGTGACCTGCACGGCGCTTGACCACCAGCCTGGCGCCACCATCGTGTCGCCAATTCTGCTGAGCTTGAGTTGGCTCCCGCGTCTCGCGGATGGATTGCGTGATGTTGCGGAGTTTTTTGTTTTGTTCGTTGTTTGGTTTGTGAAATTTTTTTTTGATCTGATTGGGTGGGGTCTATGTTTTGATTGTTGATTATTATGATTACATCTTGTTTTTTTTTTTTTTATTTTTTGTTGTTTTCTTTTATTGCAAGAGTTGGGTCGGGGTTAGTTTGATTGATATTCATTATCATATATCATTTTTTCGAATACTATTATTATTTTTTTTTTTATTTGGTAAGAAGTGGGTGGGTTATGTTGTGACATTCTATTTATTTATCAATTTATATTCAATTCTTTGTTTCATTTATTTATTTATATTTTTTTTTTTGATAAGAGCGTGGGTCGTGGAAGGTTTTAATTTATTTGATGTTTTTTTCTTGTAAGAGGTCTGGGATTGGGATTATGTTTATGAGCTAAATGTGATTTGGTTTTTTTTTTCCTGAGTTGCGACCGGGGGGGGGGGAGGTGTTCTTGTATTTTTGTTCTGGAGTTTTGTGATTTCAGTATGGTAGGTAGGCCTTGTTGTTATCGCTAAATCCTTCTCTTTACTTCATATTTGCCTCTGTTCTTTTACTATTGATATATTATATAATCAAGAATTTTTGACTATCATCGCTCATTGCTCATATCCCTCAACATCCTTTCCTTTCGATACACTCCATCACCGATCCTGGACCATCATCTACCCGATTCATTCATATATTTATGTTAAACATCCTCCTCATCCACCTAATCAGGTATCATAAATCAGATATACCATCCTTCCTCCTGAATAATCCATCACCATCTATTATTCATATATTCATATTCATCCTTCACTTATCAACCGTCTACGCATTCTCATCATCACCATCCTTCTCATCATTTCCGATGCATTTTATCGACGTAAGCATCACCACTCCTGTTCCTCATCACCATTCATCCATTATAAACCCTCCTGCATCACTCATCCAGTCCCCTTTCATCACCACCACCAATGAGTCACCATCACTCCATTTCGTTCTCTTCCTCTCTGCATTCCTCACCCATTCATTCGCGTCGATATTCATTTTTTATTTCCCTTTGTATTCAGTTTCCTCTCTCAATTCTCGTCCATTTGTTCACTCGATATCTTACTTATTCTTTTTCTGTTTTTCCTTTCTGCGCTTTCGCCTCTCTTCTTCTTTCTTTTTCTCTTTTTTTATTCAATTCTTGCTTTTTACACCTTTTAGTTATTATACGCACCATTTACCAATTCACCTGGCTGCAACATGAGCAGCTCAACAACCCCAGAGAATATAAGAGATGCCAGATAAAATGCCAGATAGATGCCAAATTTAACGAAGAGAGACGGATAGTATGATAGGCCGCTCTTGAGTCCCACAAAATACTCATGTTCGCTGCTTCCTTCATCATTTAGCTTTTCTTACCGACTATATAGCATCCAGAATCTTATCTAGATTAAATACGGTTTTAAATAACCGCACAGGCATTACTTCTTATGTAAAAAACTAGAGTCCTAAAAAATGCTGTCACCCGCCCGCCTATTAAATCGCAATATAGCATAGATTCTGTAAGATTGATCTGCATTAGATAGATAGACTATTATATTTGATTGATAGACCCTCGTATGACTTACATAGGCCAGGCATCAAAGAATAAATAACACATAATAGAATTTAACAATATAATATAATTGGTATCATCTTCCATCAAAATCAGGAAAAGTGATAAAAAAATCTTTTCTCCCCAACCACATCTTGATAAAGCCGTGGGTTCGGGGGTAAGGGGAACGGTCGGGGGAGTCTAGTCTCAACGTTACGCCCATTTCGGTCCGCGGTCACGTGCTTGATTTGAAACTATGCAACGTGCAGAATACCCAATGCCAAAAATCAAACTTGTAAGGAAGTGTAGAATTTTACAACTTCAGGCAGCTTTGGCAACTTTGGCAAGTCCTTTACCCCTCCCCCCCCTCCTTTTTTGCAATTTTGGGAAAAAAATCGTGAACCTTCTCTTGAGAGTCAGTGTGTGGGGTGGGGGTCCGCCACTTAATTCCCATCAATAAATAAATGAATAGCTAAATACACGTATAATTAAATAATAATAAAGAAAAAAACTTAAAAATATCAAAATATTGAAAATAGAAATCTAAAGAATTACCCCCTCACTACGTCAAAAAAAAAAGAAAAAAAAAAACGCATAAAAAGCTTTGTTTACCTCACAGTTTCTCTCTCTCGCCACCCAGGGCAGATATGGCGCTGTACTTACTTACCTCTACACGTCGACGAGGCCACAACAATCCCGCACCGTCTTCTTCGTCCTCCTGAGCACCTTAATATGGACGGATCTCATCGGAAAAAATTATTACGACGCCCCCCGCCCTCAATCGCTTACGCCATCATGCAGTCGAAAGGAGGTGTGAGTGTCTTGGTGTGAGGAGGGAGGGAGGGAGGGATGGGATGCGCGGTAGGGAGGGAGGAGGGAACCGGGTGGGTGAGGGCAGCGAGGGTATAGGTGATGGGAAGGAGCGAGGGCTGGACCGAGTTTAGGGTGGTGGGAAGGGAGTATGAAGCTGGTCGACCAAATGTAGTAGGTATCGTGGATGAGCTGTACGGTGGAAGTCGTCGGATCTTGGAGCGGTGAGTGGTGAGGACCCTGGAGGGTACTGGATACAGGCATGAGCGGAACGGGGCCAAGCGGAAGGCGGAATTGGGACATCAAGCGGAATCTATTACGGCTACAGGCAGGAAGGGTCTGCAGTGTACGTCGACTGACGCGGCATACGGAATATTTCTACGGATGAGCATGGTGGTATAGGCGTCAGGGAGGTCGACCTTCATGCCTTCTAGATTTCACGCGATCGCGGATGTCTGATGGCGCTTCTGCTCGGTTCAGGCGAGCGGGAAGGCTTATGGCTTTATAGCAAGGGAGTGAGGAGAGAGGAGGATTACGAGAACATAGTCGCTCTTCTTATGTGACATCTGACCTGCTGCGACGTCATGACGAGATCACGAGAGAACCTGAGACTGACGAGAGCATGACCATCTTCGTACAGAGAAAAGAGAGAGAGGGCATCCAGCAGACATCTCTGCCCCTGAGCTCACTGAGAGAGAGACGCGTATGAGAGCTTAAATATCGACGTACATCGTAACACTGCGTGGACAGTAACTTTTCATAAATATGTAAATACGATTTAAGGAGCACCGATACGTACCGCCTCGGGTAGGCCGGGTAGATATGGTAAGCTAGGAACATAGGTAGAACAGCCTTAGTTAAGCATCGAGGAGACTCACCCGAGGAAACGAGTACCTGCGAGGAGATGCAAAAAAAATAATACCCAGGAGCTACAGATCGGGCAGAGCCGAGATGGATGCTATGCTTCTTCCAAGGAAAATCCGAGTGGCTGACCCCACATTCGCCTTTCCTCTCGCCTCATCCCCCCTCCCCCCTTACTCTCTCTCTTCTTTCGTCTGACGCGTGACAGAGCGTGTGAGTGTCCACTATCCTTCTGATGCGCTCCACCGAGCACTCCCACACCTGTTACCTCGATCAGTTGACTGTCCCGTTCCCCCGCTCGTCGGCCGCCGCGATAGGCCTAGAGCGAGAAGCGAACGCGATATGTTTGTGTGCAAGTACGGACCATATTAGAATGCCAGACCTAAAAAACTACCATGGACTTGTTGCAGGAGTGACGAAATATAACTGACCACTTCTTTATAAATATTTCTAGTAGTAGGTTTTCTCCGTGATCCACATATTTAAGAGAGGAGGAGGAAGGAGGAAGGATGAGAGCAGGGAGGGAGGAGGAGGAGGAGGACGGAGGAGGAGAGGGAGGAGTGAGAAAAGAAGAAGATAACAAGAAGAAGAAGAAGTAAGGAGGAGAGGTGCAGAGGAGGCGAGGAGGACGGGAGAAGGAGGAGAAGGAGCGAGAAGTGGAGAAGGAGGAGAAGGAGGAAGGAGGAGGAGGAGAAGTGGAGCAAGAGACGAGGAAGAAGTAAGAAGAGAGAAGAAGAAGAAGAAGAAGAAGAAGAAGAGTAAATGAAGAAGAAAGAAAAAAAAAAGGAAAAAAAAGAAAAAGAAAATAAAAAACAAAGAAAAGACAAGGAAAAAGACAGGAGAAAGAAAGAAGTGAGAAAAAATCCATAAATAAGTTAATTGAACTGACTGACGTGAATCATACTTACGCTCATCTCATATGCCAATTGCAGTTGCAACATAATGTCCATTTCTCGAAATGTAAAGAAGCAGAGCAATAATAATAAAAAAAAACAAGCCTAGTTTTTTTTTTATCTATTTATTTATTTCGGTTTCCATTATATATTTTGTTCTATCGTATATATCGTCTTATCTCAGCCAGCAGCCAATAATAATAATATAATATATAAAGAACAAGTCCTAGTTGTTTTTTTTTTCTTTTTTTTTCTTTTTTTTCCCTTTTTTTTTTTTTTTTTTGGTATCCATTATATTTTGTTCTATCGCATATCTCAGCGGAAGTTATGGTCGGGTTCCTTCGATATTAAGGATTTATGATAAAGTCCGTCCCGAATTTACGGCCCAACTTTTATACAACGTTGCAACGTCAAGATCGGGTTTTATATTTACTGTTCCACTTTCGTCTCTGTACTGAAGCCCATCTTTCGTCGGTTATTTTTATACTACTGTTCTATCTTTGCGTCTACTGAACTGCGCTTGATGTTTGTGATTTAAATGGATATTTGGTTCTTTGTTTACACAATTCCGTTTTCTTCGGTGTTTCTCGAGTTACCGTTAAAGCATTCTTTTTTTTTTTTTTTTAGGTGGGGGGGGGGGGTGTCGGTTATTGCATTAGCTGTTTGATATTCATGTGGTTTCCTTACATAATTATTTGTTTTATTTGTCCGGTTTATTATTCATGACTTGTTTGTTTTTTTTTATTATTATTAGTTTATGATGATTATGAACTATTATTATTATTATTATTACTATTATTTTATTATTATATTATCATTATTTTAT